GCCAAAGTCAGATGTTTAACCGACTGAGCCACCCAGGCGCCCCCCAGGCACCTCTTAATTAAGATTTTACTTTTAAATAATCTCCGCACCCAACCTGGGGTTCCAACTCACAACCCCCAATATCAAGAGTTGCATGCTCCACTGACCCAGGTGCCCCTGGGTCATTAAAATATTTCTGAAGAGTTTTTACATGGAAAACTGCTTATGATGTAATGAAAGAAAGAAAACAAAACATAACATTGGGGGCACCTGGCTGGCTCAGTCAGTGGAACCTGTGACTCTTGATCTCAGGGTTGTGAGTTCAAGCCCCATACTGGGTGTAGAGATTACTTAAAAAAGTGTGTGTGTGTGTGTGTGTGTGTGTGTATGTGTGTGTCTACACACACACGCAATTGATTAAACAATGTGATGACACATATGTGTGTTTAATCACAATTAATGTGATTTTAGTTGTGTTAAAAAACACATGTATGGGGACGCTCAGTCGGTCAAACGTCTGACTCTTGATTTCGGCTCAGGTCATGATCTCAGTTCATGGGATCAAGCCCCAGGTGGGGCTCCCCGCTGACAGCATGGAGACTGCTTGAGGTTCTCTCTCTCCCTCTCTACCCTTTCCCTGCTCACATGCATGCTTACTCTCTCTCTCAATAAAAACAAAAACAAAAAAACCTAGACACCTATGTATGTAAACTTTAGTAGAAGAAAATATGCCAAAATGTTAGTTATCTCTGTGTTGTCGGATTCTTTAAATGGCAGTTGTTTTCTTTATAGTTTTCTGTATTTTCCACAGAAAAATGTTAATTTTTTTCTTCAAATATTATTTTAATAGAGACACATTAAAAAAATTTTCATTACAGATGATTTGTATGCAGAAATCAGTGGTTGAAGGAAATTGGGAAGGAATACTTTTAACTTTTATTTTTGTTGTTCTTGGCCGGTTCTTTTTTGCCCAAAAAAACAAGCACATGCCAACTTTCCCCAAATGTAAAAAGGAATTAGAATGCTTGAAAGATCTTTAGTGAAAGCCAAGTCATGTTATAACACAGAGTATACTATAATTAAAATACCCCATGGGTTTGTTCATAGCCTATAATAACAATCTCTTGTGAATCCAGTTATAAGGGCGATTTATAGTAGGGTTTAGTATAATCAACTTTGCTCTGTATTTATAGGAGAGTTGCTATCCATCTTTGCTCTGTGTTTATAGGAGAGTTGCTACCTTTTTTTTTAAGGAAAGAAATTGCTGAAGTTTTATGTCTCCAAAAGTGGCAACAGATCTTGCTGGTCTAGGAATACTAATACATCAAAATCTCATCACAAAATTCTTATTCCCCTGTAGCATTTCTCAGTTGTGCTGGGATATGAACTAGTCTTTTCCCTTTTGGGTTTGGTTTCAATGAGATTCTATGGGGAAACTCAGCTGTTGTCAGGAGTGTGGACCTAAAGCTTGGTGATAACGGGAAATGAGAGAATACTCATAATGAGCAGACTAGGAATGTGGGTGGGACCAATGAAAATTATAATCCCAATTAGAATTTTTGCAACCTAATGACTTAATGCTAATCTATAGAGTAGACTCAGCAACTTTGTCTCTCTTTGTCCCAGAGGCCTAGTTCCATCTAGATGAAGTGCAGGCTGAACTGATACTTCTTGTCTCCCTTTGCACAGGAAAATGATGGACTCCGGACAGATTGATTTTTACCAACATGACAAGGTTTGCTCCAATACCTGCAGAAGCACCAAATTTGATCTTCTTATCAGCAGTGCAAGAGCTCCGGTGCCAGGACAGCAGACAAGTGTGGTGCAGACACCCACTTCGGCCGATGGTAGGGGGTAGGAAACCACCTGAAAACCCACTGTGTTTTTTAGTAACACTTTCCCCTTATTTCTCTTTTGTGTTTCCTAATTTCAATTCTCATGAGCATTGTTGTCCCTGTAAAGTATGCTAATCTTGGGTACACTTCCATGCTTTAGAAATAGATCTGTTTTCTCCTAGATGATTCCTGTTGGCCAGACCTCCTTCCGTGTTTCTTTCCTATAATGCATGGTGAACATTAGAAAGATGGTTCAGTGGTTATTATGCTTATTCAATGGTTTCACTTTGGTGCCACTTGGCGGATCTTTGAAATTAGATTGTTTTGAAAATCCTTTGCTCTACTAGTGGTCAAGGCAGGAAGGTGGATTAAAATAGTGAATGGTTTTCAACTGTTGAGCTGAGATGTATCAAAGATAATGTATGGTTGGCTGGACTGGACTCTAAAGACTCTGATATAAGGATCAAAGAGCTCTGCCTGGAAGGGATCCGGATAATCATGTTGAGGCTTCCTCACAAATGAGGCAGGATGGGCATACACTTAACTTTGGTATCACTGACCTTGGGATTAGAGCTCTCTATCTCCAGAGAAGATGGACTCATGTGAGATAATTATTAGGGATTCAGTTAGTCCCAGGGCACCTGGCTGGCTCAGTTGGAAGAGTGCGCAACTCTTAATCTCAGGGTCATGAGTTCAAGCCCCACGCTGGGTGTAGAGATTACTTAAACAAACAAACAAATTTAGGGGAAAAAAAAGGATTCAGTTAGTCCATCTGAAGACTTAGCACAGCTAAGATTCTTGGACTGTCTCAGCTGCTTCCAGAAGACTTACATATGTGTTTCACAGAGTCACAAGGACACTAATGGATATAAGGGAAGTACATTTTTAAAAAATGACCTCTCAAGGTTTCTTGTGGTCAGCCCTAATATTCTGTGAGTAACCACTGGGTGAGTAGAAGCCAAATCTCTTGGAACTTAAGTTCCCTTTAGGAAAGTATAAAATGTCTAGCTGTTTGAATTTTTGGTCATGTGATTCTTCCACTTGGAAAGTAAAAACGATGAAATTATTTACTTCCTTTTTATTTGGCAAAAATTCCTTTAGTTTTGATTGTCCATATCAATATTACTTTTTTGCTTCATTATTGATATCCTCTAGCATGGGGAGTCCATACTTGTCCGTGTATCTACCTGGATCAATTTGATTTTTCTCAATTGTCTTTGTTTAAAATCCTAATATAGGAGGGGTGCCTGGCTGGCTCAGTTGGTAGAGCATGCAACTCCTGATCTTGGGGTTGTGAGTTTGAGCCCCATGTTGGGTGGAGAGATTGCTTAAAAAAATAAAAAATAAAAAAATAAGGGGCGCCTGGGTGGCTCAGTTGGTTAAGTGTCCGGCTTCAGCTCAGGTCATGATCTCGCGGTTTGTGAGTTCGAGCCCCACGCTGGGCTCTGTGTGACAGCTCAGAGCCTGGAGCCTGCTTCAGATTCTGTGTCTCCCCCTCTCTTTGCCCCTCCCCAGCTCCCCTCCCCTGCTCATGCTGTCTTTCTCTCTCAAAAATAAGTAAATGCTAAATAAATAAATAAATAAATAAATAAATAAATAATAGGGGCACCTGGGTGGCTCAGTCGGTTAAGTCAGCCTCTGACTTAGGCTCAGGTCATGATTTCACAGTTCATGAGTTCAAGCCCCATGTTGGGTTCTCTGCTGTCAGCACAGAGCCTGCTTTGAATTCTTTGTCTCTCTCTCTGTCTCTCTCCCCCTCCCCCACTCTCTCTCGAAGATAAACATTAAAAAATAAAATGTTATTATACAATATTAATAGCAAAATTTATTTTTATCTGTGAATCTGATATTCATGGATCTCTTCTTCTCTGATTTGTTTTGGTCTCATTTCTCTTGCTTTCTCTTATATAGCCTGATAAATAAACGACAGCAACTTTTGATATTCTAGATGGTTAGTATCAAACATGCTTGTAGTAGGGCTCTTGGCTAAGCACCATACTTTTCTCTTAAATCATTTTAGATTCTTCTTATCCTCACTAAGTCTGGGGGAGCCAGCCTGGCAATCGTGCTCTCTTTCAGTCTTTCAAAAATATACCTGCTCAGGGAGCAAATTGCTCTTTTGTGATTTTGTAAGTTATCTTTCACTTTCTATTCAGAGTAAGAAGAAAGCATTCTCTTTTGCAAGGCAGGTTTTCTTTAGAAAATTCAGCATTTGGGGCGCCTGGATGGCTCAGTTGTTTTAAGTGTCTGACTTTGGCTCAGGTCATGGTCTCTCGGGTTCATGAGTTTGAGCCCCGCATCAGACTCTCTGCTCTTAGCGCAGAGCCTGCTTCAGATACTCTGTCTTTCTCTCTCTCAGCCCCTCCCCTGCTTGCACATGTGCACGCATTCTCTCCCTCTCTCTCAAAAATAAATAAACATTAAAGAAAAATATCCAATATTCATCCTTGCTTACAATTCTAGGTTTTAATATATGGACCTACAGGCAAAAGGCCAGAATGTTAAAATAACAGGGTTTTTTTTTTTGTTTTTTTTTTTAGCTATATGAGATAAAGGATAGCTATGACTTTTTCATGAAATTCACTGACTTTACCTCTAATGGACTGCTTTTAGGTAGCATCACACAGATTGCCATCTCGGAAGAGAGCATGGAAGAGGCAGGCCTGGAATGGAACTCAGCTCTCACTGCTGCTGTCACCATGGCTACAGAGGAGGGTGTGAAGAAAGACTCAGAGGAAATTTCAGGTACTTTACTACGAGGCTGAGATATCTTGCAGGGTTTTGTGCCCCTTCTCACCATTATGATTATGGACACAGAAGGCCTCTTAATTACTTTTGCTGGTTTTTCTCATGCATATTAATACTAATTATAGCTGCAAACATTGTATTTTAATGCATGCAACAACAGCCCTGCACAGTCACATTTTACATAGGAAGAAATTGAGATTCAGAAGGGTTCAGCAGCTTGCCTAAGACCTGTCACACCAGCAGTAGTGTCAGAGCTGAATTCAGCTGTTTGACTCTGTAGTCCAATGCTTTTCATCCTGTCAGCCTCCAACTTTGGAACGTTTCTTAGATAAACCAAGTAGCAAGATGTTAGAAGAAAAAATTAGGTAGCAGGTGGTATAGAGGATGATGATTAATGATGATTCACTTACAGGGGACCAGGAGATGTTTCACATCATCCTCCATTCGTTAATTCACTTAAACAGTATTTATTGCTGCCTATTTTCAGTTGACACTGTTGCCAACATAGATGAAAAGGCATAGCCTCTGCCCTCAGGGAGCTTATAATCCCCCCTATTCAGCTGTCTCATTTTATTTTTGCAAGTATAGTACTAGAGGGAGTATAGTTGACCTTTGAGCAACGTGGCAGTTAGGGGCACCAACCCCCTGTGCAGTTGAAAATCTGTGTGTAAATTTTGACCCCTTCCCCGAAAACTTTACAAGCCTTACTGAAAACATAGTCAATTAGCATATGTTATATGTATTATATACTATAGTCTTACAATAAAGTAAGATAGAGAAAAGAAAATGTTATTAAGAAAATCATAAGAAAAATAAATTGACATCACTTGTACTGTATTTAAAAAAAAATCCGTATATGAGTGAACGCTCACAGTTCAAACCGACTTGTACAAGGCTTAACTGTATATCTTTAATTTAATATCTTTATTGTTTAACTTTTAAGATATTAAAGACTATTTAATTTTAAATTATTTAAGTAAATAATATTTAATATTTGTTTAATGTAATATCTTTATTAGAGGAAGATACCTGCCCCCTATAGCCAGAGCCATGACAAATTGAGACAATTATCTCAAGTCCCTATGTTGCCAAAGAGGCCAAATAACTGGGTGCCAACTCAAGGAGGCAGCCGGTACCCTAAAAGCTTCTTCCCTTTTCCGAGAAATGGCCCAACAAGAAATTATTTCAAATTGAAGTAATTTCGAGTTTAACTTGAAGACATGTGCCTAGGTGTATGTAGCATCCCTTGTTTACCCTCTGTCTTATCCCTCTTGTGTCAGAGGACACTTTGATGTTCTGGAAAGGAATAGCTGATGTAGGACTGATGGAAGAGGTTGTCTGCAATATACAGAAGGAAATAGAGGAGCTACTCAGGGGAGTTCAGCAGCGGCTCATTCAGGCTCCCTTCCAGGTAACAGGTAAGTACACCAATTCTAGCAGTAGTGATCATTTTATTCAATGTTAACAAGTGTAGACAGATCTTGTTAGCCTCATGAAAACACTGGCATATAGGCATTATGATCCTAGTTTTACAGATTAGGAAACTAAGGCTCATAAAGGTTGTTTGTCCATAATTCATAATGAGGTTTTGAACTCAAGTCTGGTCATGCTTTTTCCATAGGTAATTTTTGCCTTTATAAATGGTGCCAGAAAGCATGCTATTACATATATATATATATATATATATATATATATACACACACACACACACACACACACACACACACACACACACACACACACATATATAGGGAGAGAGAGAGGGAGAGTGTGAGTCAGTCTAAAAATTGGGAAAAATCTATCTGGTTTTAGACAAGTCTCATCTTCTATTAGTTTAAGGTTTCCAGAACTATTGTGTTCACTTAATAGCTGTTTCTGAATACCCATAGGGTTCTTGCTGCTGTGCATAATGTAAAAGGATGTTCTAATCATCTGATACAAAAGGGTCATGATGATGGGGCACCTGGCTGGCTCAGTCAGTGGAGCATGTGACTCTTAATCTCGGGGTCTTGGGTTTGAGCCCTACATTGGGGGTAGAGTTTACTTAAAAGAGAGGGGGGTCATAATGATATCTCATAACCTTGTGTGTCAGTGAGATCTTAAAGTTGTTAGTTGTGTCTTATTATCTTATTGTGTCTTTATAATTCATACATTATATAAATACACTTAAACTTTACAGTAAAACTTTATGTGCTTGGAGTGTAAAAAAAAAAGGCAAGTAATATAGAAAGCAGGGATGACTCTTTTAGATAGGGTGGTCAAGGAAGGTCTCATGTGACGAGCTGGGAGAAGAAACATTCTAGGCAGAAGGAACAAAGACTTCGAAGTTGCAATAGGCCTGATACGTTTCAAGCATTATAGAAGCTCTGATTCCACCACAGTGGAATAAGATACAAAAGTGATAGGTGATGAGGCTGGAGAGGAATAGGGAGCAAAGTTTAGATAAGCTTTGTTAGAACTTTGGTTTTATTTTAAGGTGATGCTAAGCCATCATACTGATTTTGAGCAGGAGAGTGATGTAATTACAAGATTTATATTCTTAAATTTTTATTAGTATTTTTTAATGTTTAATTATTTTGAGAGAGAGGGAGAGAGAATCGGAGCAGGGGAGGGACAGAGAGAGGAAGAGAGAGAGACCCAAGTAGGCTCCACAATGTCAGCACAGAGCTCTACCCAGGACTGGATTCCACAAACTGTGAGATAACCTAAGTTGAGATCAAAAGCTGGACACTTAACCGACTGAGCCACCCAGGCGCCCCTATTTTTTATTTTTTAAGTAGACTTCATGCCCAGCGCAGAGCCCAACATGAGGCTTGACTCACAACCTTGAGATCAAGACCTGAAGTAAGATCAAGAGTCACACACTTGGGGCACCTTGGTGGCTCAGTCGGTTAAGCATCCGAGTTTGGCTCAGGTCATGATCTCACGCTTTGTGGGTTGAAGCCCCGTGTTGCGCTCTGTGCTGACAGCTCGGAGCCTGGAGCCTGCTTTGGATTCTGTGTCTCCCTCGCTTTGTGCC